GCCTTAGACTATAGGGTATGTCTCATTTACCCTAGGACAGAGGATCTATTACTCCAGTGTAGAGCTCCCTCTTAGCCAGACCACAGGTTATTTTTGCTAACCAAGGATCAATCTTGACATTCTGTCATATCTCATTTTCTCTCTCTAGCTTTTTCCCTCCACACCATGCCCCCCCAAAGCCACTCATAGGCTCTTTGCCTTGCCTGTGTTCCACAGAACAACTTGAAAGAGTGAAATAGGAGTATTATATAGCTCAAATCTCCCTAATCTGGTCTTACCTAGCTACTTCTACCCCAAGGCTTCTTCACACTCTTTATAAATCTACCATGGTCCCTAAATGTCCTTCTTTCTTTTTTTAAAGATTTATTTATTTATTATGTATACAGTATTCTGCCTGTGCATACACCTGCATGCCAGAAGAGGATGGCACATCTCACTAAAGATGGTTATGAGCCACCATGTGATTGCTGAGAATTGAACTCAGGACCCTTGGAAGAGCAGTCAGTGTCCTCAACCTCTGAGCCATCTCTCCAGGTGACTAAACTGTCCTTCTAAAATAAGCTGTAAGAAGAAATCTTTCAGGAAAGAGAAGTGGGGCCCAAAACAAAAGGAACAACAAAGGACAAACTCTGAAGCTCCCTCATGGCTGGGACTGTCTTCCTTTGGGGCTCTTGCCAAGAAAGTGGTCCTGCTAAATGCAGAGCTCCTCACCACTCAGAATGCTCAGTCAGTGTGGTTGGCCATTTTTCAGGTGGGTTGTTGAGAACTCAACCAAAATAATTGGTGCTGCCACATAGAGGGTACTAGTTAATAATAGTTGGCTTCTACTAGATAGAAGTCACTGTGACGAAAGCAGAGAACAGGGTGTGGTAGAAAATGAAGGAACCACTCAAGATCCAAGAACCAACCTTAGGCCATTATGGGATAAGTAAAAGCTGACTCCTAAGAAAGGGATGTGTGACTTTCTTTTCCCCTCCACTCAAAACTCAAGTAGAAGAACAGCTATAGACCTGCCTGAAACCCTTCTCTTGAAGAAGAAACAGCTTCAGCCCAACCTTTACATTTTCTGTTATTAGTCTAGCATCAAGGGACCATCTTAGCAATCTTAGGAAAGGCAGGGCTCAGGGAAGAAACAAGAGAATAACTTCATAGGCATGGCCTTCACCCCTTGTAGTTTCCAGACTTGTTCAAGCAGTCTTTGTGAAAACAAGCCCATTCCTAATTTATCTAGTCCTTCAGGATATTGGTGGAGGGAAGGGAAGGGAGATGTGAGAATGGTAAGTGTCTTCCCTCTAGAAAGCCACACAGTTCTTCGCTGGAATTAGCTATGCCACAATAGTAAAAACTCAGCAAGTTATCCAACCTGTCTGACTCTCAATTTCCTGAACTGTGAAATGGGGTTATTGATAATTCCTACTTATTCATAATTCCTACCTATTGCAGGAACAAAACCAATGCATGTAAAGTACAAATTAAAATGCATTGCACACCAGAAGCTCAAACATTATAGCAAATTACATTAATGTTTATCGCAATTATGTATGGTTGGATAATTTCTTGCAGTAAATCTATCCAAGTCAGGGTTGACTAGGGTGTTTTCCAAAGCTCTATAGGTATCTCTGAAACCTTTTTAGCTTCTCATAAATAAAAATTATGGTGATTATGTAGTTATGTTCCTGGAAGCCTTACTTGCTCATTAGACCAACTATTAATGTTCAGGAAGCTAACAACTCTAGATCATAGATCAACATTTTAAACTGAGCTAAAAGTGCCATCATAAACAGAAATGCAATTAACAGACACCCTTCAACCACTTAGGGTACCTATGAGTACACAAAGCACTATTCACCAGTTCCACTGGTTTTGTTTTGTTTTGTTTTTTTCCCCAGTAACCCATTTAAACCTTGCTACTGGGGGACAGTAAAGCCTTCTCACAGAAAAGAAAATTGTGCCTGGACTTGGGCAAAGATTTGTCTAAGGTCTCTAATGGGATTATGACAGAACTTGATTCACTTCCAGACCTCTTGAGATTTTATTCCATGTCACTCTACTTCACTGTGCAGGGACCACAAATAAAAAAATTAGGAGGGGTATGAATATGATTAAAACACATTTATGAAATTTTTAGAAAACCAGTAAAACACAGTTTTAGAAATTAGTCCAAGAGAAATGTCAAGTTTCCCTTAATACCTGTAAGCGCTATCATTTCCTTTCCCTATTCCATCCTGTTCCCGCTCAGTTTAACTTTTCCTGAAGGATTTCTTGTCCTCACTGGCTACTGCTGTTTGGGCCTTACCCACCACATTACAAAAAAACCTGATGACTTCAGAATCCAGGTGCTATGTATTCAGCTGGTGACTGATTTCCTCATCAACAATTCTGTCACCACTACTTTCAAACTACAGGCCGTATCTTCTGTTCTGTTTCCCCAGGAGATACATTTGAAGTACCCCCCCCCCAAAAAAAAGGCTGAAATAGAAAGCTGAAAAAGTGGACAATTTTGACAAGTTTGAGCTACTTAACGATAATGACCTCTGATATTATCTGGTACTCAAGTTGTACATTACTGGCGCCCATAAACAAGACCTGAGGTCAAAATGTTTGTGATGTGAAGGAAGGGCTTCTGGTTTGGACCCTTTTGGTGGAACAGTAGGGGTGGTTGAAAAAGTTCCTCTTACCCACTCCTGCACCACCGTTCCCTAATTTGCAGCCTTCCTGCTGTGGGACACTTCCTTTATAGAACATAACTCATCAACCCCAGATGCTGCACAAATCTCAACTGTGGCCTTCTGTCGCTGCCACGATTCCCTCATCAGCTTTTCAGCTGCCTTGTTCAGATACTCATCCTTGCTTACTTCCTTCTGGCAGGCTTCAGTCTGTCCATTTAGCTTGCTTACAAGGACTCTCTGTCTCAGATCACTGCATCTATCACAGAGCAGGTGCTTGGGCTGCTGGTTCAGTTGTACTCTAATTCAGCTGGAGTTTGCCAGCCTGAAATTGGAATATGCTAGTCTCACTCCTTTTGGGCATAATGGTTTGAGAAAGTATCTCTCTGAGACAGACATGCCTTATCTGTGAAATGAAAAAAAAATTTTTTTTGTAACTACCTTGCAGGATGGTGGTTATGGATTAAAGAGATCACTACAAAGGCAAACTGATTACTATGCATGGAGCTACAAGATGGGCTCTTTTGATGCTGCTGCTGGCAGTCAAGGCACCTTCTATCTGTACCTCAGCTTCCACCCTGAGTCCTCTGAAGATGACACAAAGCTTCTGGTCAAACCCTTTTGTCTGAACCTGCAACATCTCTTTTCCTGAATGCCCACTGAAAGTTTTTCACCCTTACTTCTCTGCCCTACATTCTCAGCTCCAAATATACAGGGATTTTAGTCAGTTCAGAAGATAGGGTGCCAAGACATAGCCTCTCCCTAGAAATGAACTTTTCTGATGATTTTTCTTCTTTTTGTATTTGTCTTTTTTGTTTTGATTTTTTGCTTTGTCTTTTTTGATTGTTTTTGTTTTGTTTTGATTTGTTTTTGGTGCAGGGGGAACAAATATAGTACCTCAAATGTGCTAGAAAAAAATAATACTTAGCCACATCTGATCCTCCTGAGGATTCTCCTGGTGCCCCAGCTGTTTCTTAGGGGATTCTTACCCAGCTCACAATCAGGACAGGTTCTTTGAGATCCACTTACTTGCCCTTTCCTTTGAGTCTAATCTGAGAGATATATTGCCAAGGTAGGTACTATGTCTCAGTAGCCTCCCAGTATGTTAGTACTAGTCAATCAAAGGGAAGATGTGAGACAGACTGTACCTGCTCCATCTATTCAGAAAGGCTATGAAATTCTTCCACTTGGGGCTAAAACTTTATCAACTAGTTTATCTGCCTAAACAGGACTTGTGCAGAGAAACTGAAGAGATAACATCAGGAGTTTCTCTTTTCAGTTTCAGGCAGCCTAACTGTGAGAGAAAGCTAGAAATCCCTTCTCCTATTTGGTTCTGAGGGACTAGGATTTAGGTGTTACAATATTTCCTGAAAGGTAGAGAGCTAGGGCTAGGGGTTAATGGCTAGGTGATAAATATGGTGAATTTCCAGCTGGCTGGCTTCTTCCTCACCTTCCAGACCAAAGACAAAAAAGCCTGGCAGCTTAAAACAAAAGCTTTGCAAGATTTTTCTCCTACCAGAGGGCCCCCTGCTGATGGACTGGCTCTACAAGTTCAAGGCCAGATCAGGACGTGTGTGTGTGTGTGTGTGTGTGTGTGTGTGTGTCCACAACAATTGTGGGTCAATCCACCATCTGGCCTTTCTTCACACTGACCAATCCTAAATTAGGGAAGGAAGACCCTTCAGAGACTTAAAAACAAAAAGGGCCCAAAGGAGAGGCTGGGTCTCATGAGTATCCCTTCTGCTTTATGGAATGTCTTTACCTCTATATGCTTGCTGTGTGTGTCTCTGTGTATGTTTCATCACCCATAATAAAAGCATTTCTTTATTGGCTGGTTCTGTCTGCTCCTGTCTGCTGTGTTCCAGAATTTTCTTACTGCATGCTCAAAAATTTTAACTGGCAGAGAAAACAAACCTGATCATGATCCCTACAAATCCTACAAATAAACTCATGAAACGATAAGCTTGTTGCTGTTTTTCTTATTCCCTTATTTCTTTGGACTCGTGAAGCAGGGGTATTTCTTCCATACCCAGTTTGAGTACAAATATGAGAGTTCTTGAGGTGCCAACATTTCCCAAATATCTCCCTCCTCCTGACACTTTCAGCCTCCAGCATGCTTCAGGCCTTAATATCTTGACTGAGGTAAAGAAAAATGTGAAAAAGTGAGAAGTTCCCAAGATGCAGCTGCCACATAAACGCAGGCAGCCTTCACTTTTGAGGAATAGAATGGTGGGAGGAGGGAGTAGTGCGCTGAGTGGCGCCTGCTGGAGACCTTGGGGCACAGCATAAAGAACAATAGCTTAGCCTCAATTTGCTGTATGACCTTAAACATACCTTGCTTGCTTTCAAGGGCATATCTACGACGACAGAGGTCTTAACTGCTAGTCCACACAAAGACCCATGTAACTGAAAGAAAGAGGGGGTAAAAAGGTTTGGAGCATTTAGCAAATAAGTATTTAAGCCCAAGTGACCTTTCACCCTCTCCTTGCCTATCAAAGGCCAAAAGGGAAGCTGACAGTGTGAAACTTCCTTCTGGAGGGAACACAGCCCCAGCTCTATTTATACATTTCATGGTGGCCTCTTACCTATCTGATTTGTAGGATGCTTTCAATTTCTTTCTAAGACCCCATTTAAAAACCCTTTCAAAACTCCCATTCTTGGGCTGGTGGTGGTACACCTCTTTAATCCTAGAATTCAAGACAAACCACTGTCAATGATTACAAAGGCAATGGCCTACAAAGCAAGTTCCAGGACAGCTGGGATTATCCAGTGAGGTCCTGTCTCAAACCAATAACAAACAAACAAACAAAAATCCCCCCAACCAAAACCCCCAAATCCAACAACAAAAACAACCAACCAACCAAACAAACAAACAAAAAACCCAAAATCTCCATTCTTATAATGTTGTGTGGGCAAACACACAACCCACCCTAATCACCCAATGTTCAGTGATCTCCCCCTAAAAAGATTAAATCACCATTCCAATGCTTGGTATTTGGGAATTCCCACCACTGGGTCCTAACTCTTGTACCTCTGAGTTACGCCATCTCATCCTGCCTGCCAGCCACTCGTTTTCACTTCTAATTCTGTGTATTCTTCCTCTACCACACTTCTATACTTCCCAGCTCCTTCACAAATGACACCTGGGATATATAGATCTCTCTACTGCATATAGAGATCTTTTCATGGCAATCTGCCTTTAAGCTCATGAATCAGCAATCAAAAGTCTGCAGAAGCCGGGCATAATGGCGCAAGCCTATAATCTGATCACTGGGAGAGGCAGAGGCAGGTGAAGCGCTGTGAGTTTGAGGCCAGCCTGGTCTACAAAGTAAATCCAGGACAGCCAGAGCTGAACAGAAACACCCTGTCTCGAAAAACAAAAAATAAAAGTGTGCAGAGGCCCAGGATGTGAGCAATCCAGACTCTGAGCTTCTTATAGAGGGGACTTATGGTGACTTTCTTTTTTAATGTAGTAGCAACTGAATCCCCCTTTCAACTCACATTAGGCATATTATATACCTATCTGAGCCTTCAGTCTTCATTTACTTAAGTTTCATGGAGTAGGACAACAAGGTTAAAAGTGTTTTCTAAAGTTCTACAAAGACAACTTGTCCTTCTGGAACATTCATTAATTTCATTCATTAAATGCTTTATAATGCTAGGATCTGAGAGTGTTGTAGCTGAGGTCTAGGTTTTCTTTCCTGGGATGAGGGTTCTGAGAACCTAGACATCTATATAAGAGAAACAAAGCAGAATCATGGAAAGGTAACTGTACAGGAGTTCCAAGAAAGAGGTCTGGTCATTAAGAATCAGCCTGTAATACCAAAAAAGAGAAAGTTGGTTGAGAACTTGGGCCTGAACGGATGAGGACTTGGACAGGTGTTGGTTGAGTGTGTTTGAGTGTGGAAAAGATGGCTGTTGGACTGAAGTAAAAGCAGCAGAGAGCCAGACCCAGGATATAAAAATCCAGCTCCAAGTAGAGGTCTGTGTTGAGATCTGGTCAATTAGGTAGGGGTGACAATAATGTGGTATCTGCAATCCTGGCTGATCTTTTTCAAAAGGTTCTATGTTAACCTTCCCAAGTAATATATTTATTTACAGAGTCTCATTGCCCACTCCAAAGATGTCCAGCCTGTTAAAGTCCCTTAGTCTCTTATTCTTCAGGAATACCTGAATAGCCCAGAGTGATTCACAGAGTAGGGCACATAAGGGATTGGGGCTTTGTTGGAATCTCTGCTGGTAGGGCAGGAAGTCCAACAATGCAGTGCTCTGGGGGGTTCTGTCCATACCAGCGCTGCTGAGACAGGCCGCAGAAGATGTTTGTATGCGGACAGGGTTGTCTAGACTTCTCTCAAGGCCAGTCCAGCAAGGGAGGGGATGGTTCAGCTATATTAGTCTCTGCTGAGGCCTCTGCCTTCCCCATACCTAAGGCTCATCTGGCAAGCTTAGCCCCTCAAAGGGGAGCTCAGGAGAAGTCACGCCTTTGGGCGGTCACCAGTGTCAGAGGTGTCTGCAGCAGACAATGACAGCAGTCTGGCAGGCTGGATATTTTAAGTAACTGAGAAGTTGTAGGATTTGTCTGCCTTACCTACACCGTGTATTCTTTACTACAATGACGGCCCCCTCTGCCTCTAGCTAGGAAATCCCCGCTACAATATTGTGCCTATTGCTATTTTAAACCGAAGGCTGGAGAGAAAAACGCGCCCCATGTCCTACAAGGGAAAAGAGGCGGGCGGGAGGTGGGGGTGGAGGCGGCAACAAAGCGGCCTTGCAGCTCTAACCCAAGGACCAGTAAGAGCTCCTGGTCCAGCCCGCCTGCAATGGGGGTGGGAGCCAAATGAGACTGGAGGCCCAGGAGGGGGTGCCTCTGGTTGGGACCATAGGATCAAGGTTCCAAGGCTAAGTGGGAAGTTCAGATATCCAACTGTTCTTCCTTAAGGAAGAACACAGTGGATGCCTTAAGCCACCCTAAAGCCTGTCTCAGCCTGGCTCAAAGCTAGCGCGCCAGCTTCCTCTGCAGAGGAGACATAGGAGACGCACCGCAGAGGGGAGGGGCCACAGCAAGGCCTCGCGGGTGAGCGCACCGGCCTAACAGCTGTTCCAGCAAACGCACTATAAACAAAGCTAAGGAGTTCCCGGCCTGCAAATGCTTTTTGGGGTGCTAGCTAGCGGAGCCCTTCCCGGAACCACGCAAACAGCACGTGTGGGCCCATCCCGGCCTCCCATTACAACCTAGAGGCGTAGCCCAGGCTAGTCCCCCGCCTTCTGGCCCTCCCACCCCACCCCCAGCCACGGTCGCCTGTACCCTAGAGACTAACGGCCGCTGGGCCCCTCCCTGGACAGTACCCAAGAAAGAGCAGCAAGGCCCAGGATGCCCACCTCCACGCGATCAGAGCAGAGCACGCGGGGATGCACCAGACTTCCAGCAGGATGGCTCCTAGCTGGGCGCAATGCTTACCCTGCCAGGTCCAGCTCCCAGCGCGGTTATTGTCTACTGCTCTGCTCTGCTCTGCTCTGAGCTGGAGCCTCTGCTGAGATCCCCGCCACCACAGCTACAGCATTCTTCTGCACCGAGTACCCTCCTCCAGGCTCTGGGCAGCTCCCCCATACCCTCTTCACCCTGGACTCCACAGTTAGGAGGTGGGACGTCCGTGAACTGATTGGCAGGCTTGCAGTTCAATCGCCATGGTGGGAAGGCATGCCCTCCCCGCCCACTGTTTTCCTTGGTGCTTCTCTCTTTAAATGCAAATAAGCAGGGCGTGGTATTGGCAGGGCGGGGCAGAGAGGCTGTCGAACCCCTTGTTGGGGCTCCCCACTTCCGCTCCCACGCGGGGCGGGTTTCAGCGTGTCTACACACCAGCCTCAAGGAGCTAGTCCCGCCCAGATGGGACTTGCCAGATTGTTGGAACTCGGTTTCGATTTTGCGCGCATTCCTATTTCCTTGGCGGTTACTGCTCCAGGTTGCTACCAAGGAGTTTCTTCACGCTTTTTTGAGACTAGCTGGGAGAAGTGAGGCAGAGAAATAAGGAGTCAGGGATTGTGAGGCCTGCAGAAACCTTTGGCACGGTGGCTGGCCAATTATTAAATGTGACAGCAGGGCCTGGTGGCTGGTGTTCACAGATAAGAAATCACCTGTCAGGAAAGTGACCTGTCTCGGCGCCCCTCCCAGACCCAAAGCGCCTCCCCTGCCCTGCAGCTTTTTAGTTTGCTCAAGGCCCTGAAGAAAAGCAAGGCTGAGGTCAACTCTGATCAGTCACCAAAGGGCCTAGTGCTGCTCAGGAAAAGGGAGCCGCTTCTTCTAGGTTACTTGGACTGCCAGTGACTGAGGCATATTTGGAATATAGACCTATGCTCAACTTTCAGAGCATGGAGTGATTCTCAAGATCACCAGAGAACTCTCTATCAATTGTGAGTCTGGTTCTGTGCAGACCTTTTTTTCTGGAAAAGTATGAAAGAAGTTTTGTCTGATCCCTTACCAGAGGTCAGACTGAGGAACAGTGAGGAGGCCTGTCAGACCAGCCTTGCAGGCTACTGTGTCTAGAATGTAGCAGTGGGCCCCCTGAGCTTAGGTCTCTAACTAGCCTAAAGACATTAAGTGGCATTAGTAACTGCCAGTGCCAGGTGAGCTGGAGCAAAAAAAGAATCCAGTTGTATAACCAGCTATGGAATGTACAGAATTCCGGTTTTGTCAGTGTCTAAAAGGGGAAGAGAAAGTGGATTGCGGTTGAGAAGCAGGGAAGGATTAGAGAACAATGACCGGTGCCCCACCCCCAACTCTGAGAAAACTCAGAACGCAGAATTTTCTGTTGCTCTACTGGATCCTGTCTACCTTATAATGACCCCGATGCTGAACTAGTAAGCTGTGGACTGCTGCCACTGCCTGTGTGAAGCAAAGGAATTGATATGGCTGCTAAGAGCTGGCATCTACTTTTCTTTCTGCCTCAGATTTGCTGAGAGACTTTGGCCAATCTGGTCTCCCTTCTGAGACATTCCATTTTCACGAAGAAAGAATAAGCTCTATCAGTTCAACTCATTTTTCTATAATCTTCCATGATGCCTTACAACCTTCAATGACATTCTAGACATCACCAAAAATTAGCACTGTGAATCAGAGTCCTAGTCCTAGCTTTTAATAAATGTTGAATGGCAAACTGCTGCTAACTCTCTATATAATTTTGTTGGATAAATCCTTTCCCCTAGCCTGGTTTGAATGGCTAGACTATCACATTTCCAAGGATCTCTGTTTAACAGTTTTGTAAAGTCTTGATTCTTATTTGCTGGGCCTGACACACCATATTTTCTTTTTGAGCACCTCCATTATACTCTGCTAACCTGTGTCTCTGTCACTGAAAACTTGCATTTTACACGGATCCTTGATTTTTTTTTTTTTAAATTAGATCAACATTATTATTTGGAAAAGATAGTTTTAAGATCTGGAGTCCAGTGAAACAAAAGACAAGACAGTCCTGGCTGTGAGAACATGTGCAAAACAACCACGTTGTGTGGACTTGGAAAAGCCCTGGGCACTGCTGTGCTGCTCCCATCACAGGTGAAAGTCCTGCATGCCAGTTTCTGAGTCTCAACACATTTGGACACACCAGTCACTTTAGGGAATGCTAGATATTAGTTGGACACCAGAAGAAATAGAACGAAAAGGGAGGGAAAAGGGAAGGAGAGGCAGTAGCAGAAGCAGCAGAGGAAGGAGAGGCCTAAAACACTCTTTGAAATGCTAAAGAAGCTTTCAAACTGGACCCTTGTTTGTGGTCATGAAATTCCTAAGTCTTAAGAGAATACAGGCACACTACAGAATGTACATACCAAGAAGGATCATGGGAAGGGGTGGTACAGCTCCTCAATGCTGTATCACTCCTCTCTAAGGAGTTAAAAAAAATGAAGTATGTACGTAAAAAATTGCCTCCTCAAAAGGAATGTTCCAAAGTGCCCATCTAAATCAGCCCATGCTGACTGAGGTGATCAGATCATTTAGTCAGGCCAAGAGTTGATAGTGGGAAGCAGGATTTCTTTCTTGTTTTAAGGTTTTTTGTTTTTTTTTTTTTAATCTGCAAAATGAAGATCTTGATTTTACTACATAGTATATTTTAGCTCCAGCGAAAAACCTATGTCATGTTCAATTGGTATCTTTGGGAGGTCTGCTCTTTCCTGAACTGGAGGAGGAGTGAATGTGGAGGAGAGGGTAGATATTTTTGGGTGGGGACTGAGAGGAGGGAAGGGAGGGGAAACTGCAGGCAGGGTGTATTGGAGAGCGAAAGAGGGAGGCAGGGAGGGAGAGAGAGTACCCTATAAAGACAGCTGTAAATTGTGTGGTTGCAACTCCTTAAACCTTTTAACAGTCCTGCATGATTACAGTGCTTTTCATTCCGTGGGTACCTCTTCTAGCTTAGGCCTGGTCATCTATATTAAAAGTTTCCATAGTAATCTTCTTAAGGGACCTGAGGATGAGATTCTGAGAGGACCAGAGTGCTAAGCAAAGGTGCTTTGGAACAATATAGATGGGATGACTTTTTCTCTACAAATTGGTAAGAAGCATTAGAAAAAAAAAAAGTTCAAGAGAAAATGGCCTTGATAACGGAGTCAAGTCAGAAAAGTACAGGAAGGATTCCTACCCAAAGTCAATATGTCCAGTGCTGTGAGGTGGTACACTGGGTTGAACAAGAAAATTCTGATTGTAATAGCACATAGAAAACAAGCTTACAATTAGACTAGATACATAGATCTAAAGTATATATATATATATATATATATATATATATATGCACATATGTATAGATGTATGTGTGTATACATATATATGCATATATATATGTATGCCCAGTTTAGTATATATATATATATAGATAGATAGATAGATAGATAGATAGATAGATAGATAGATAGATAGATACTAAACTGGGCATACTCATGACCAGTTAGCTAATTTCATCATTTTCCTGGAAGCAATAGAGTACAGTAGCTGTGCAGCAGATTCCCTGGGCTGGGAGGCCAGCTTATGCTGGCTGCTTTTATGTAACTTGAAACAGGATAGTTACCTGAAGGGAGGGACCCTCAATTAAAAAAATGCTTCCATAAGAGCTGACTGTAAGCAAGCCTGTAGGGTATTTTCTTAATTAGTGATTGATTGGGGCAAGTTTCAACCAATTGTGGGTGGTACCATCCCTGGGCTGACGGTCTGGGGTTCTATAAGAAATCCCTGAGGAGCAAGCCAGTAAGCAGAACCCCATCCCCACTTCTGCATTAACTCCTTACTCAGTGTTTGTGTTCTTGTCCTTACTTCCTTCAAAGATGAACAATGGTGCGAAAGTTCAAGCGAAATAAATTCTTTCCCTCCCAGCTTGCTTTTGGTCATGATGTTTCATCACAGCAATAAGTAACCTGGACTGAAACAGAAATAAATATCAGGATTGTAATGCTGTGACAGAACTGACCATGATGTTTGGGGGAGGATTATGGGAGGAATTTGGAACTTTGGGCCAGAAAAGTCATTGAATTTTCAAAGCTTGGTGAGCCTTTCTGTGGGAACTTGGAAGAGAAGAATGTAGAGAGAAATGCAGATGATAGAGGAAGTTCCAGAGGGAAGTTTGAGGTCACTTAAAGATTTTGTCGGGGCTATTCCATAATTTGAATTAAGAATTTATGTTTCTGGTCAGCTGAGGCTGAAGCACCACTGAAGTTAATCCTTTGCTTTGCTGGTACAATTGATGCTGGGTAGCTGGGGCTTGATGAATTAGCAGATTAAGAGAAAACCAGTATCACTGAGGTGAAGTATTCTGGGAATTGTTTTCTCAGAGTCAACACAGACAAGCTGGGTTCCAGATATGGCCAAGGTTGTACCTTGTGCTGGCAGCTGAACTTGGTAATGTAAGAGTTACCCAAGTGGTAGTGGTTTTGAAGACATGAATGGGTCATGGAGAGAAGCTGAGGCTTGCCACTGTGTGGCAGGGTTGGAGTCCCTGAAGAGACCCCATTAGTAAAAGTGTAGCTCACTTGCAATAAGAGACCTCTGCATTTTGGAGAAGTGAGTGACATGAGATGACCACCAAGAACAGCAGCAGGCGTGAAGTGGAGCGAGCTGGAGCTGAGAAGACAGTCTGTGTACTGCAGAGGGCAGAGCCAGAGAAATACCCAGGCCCCTTTAAGGAGCACAGAAGATCATGAATGGATCCCAGACAATGGAAACTAAGTTATTTACACAGTTGGAGTATGGTTTTGCTTTGTTCAGATTGTGACTATGCCCTGGTTCATCCTTCAGAAAGTTATTAACTTATTCTTGCTTTTATAGAAGCTCATAGTTAAGGGATTTTTAGCTTTTAAAGAGATTCTGGAATTTTATAGAGATTTTGGATTTCAAAAGAGACTGGATATTTTATTTTATTTTTTTAATAATTTATTTTTTTTTTATTAATTACACTTTATATCCCCCATTAAGCCCTTCCCTCCCCCTTCTTCACGCATGCCCCTCCCCAAGTCCACTGATAGGGGAGGTCCTCCTCTCCTTCCTTCTGATCTTAGTCTATCAGATTTTATCAGGAGTGGCTGCATTGTCTTCTTCTGTGGCCTGGTAAGGCTGCTCCCCCCTCAGGGGGAGGTGATCAAAGAGCAGGCCAATCAGATTATGTCAGAGACAGTCCCTCTTCC